CGAGTCAATTACGAGCTCGCCGTTCTCTGATTTCTTCCGCGGTTACGACGAATTCGATATTGCATGACGTCGGAGCCACCGTGGCAGTTCTCGGTGGCGCCTACGCGCTAGTCTTAAGCTTCGAGAATCTCACGAAACGAAACGTGATTCCACAGGTCTCTCTTACGCTTATGCACTTTGTTGAATGAAATTTCTCAGATTGTGATTGCAACAGTCATAATTATAAACAAAGAATGAGACTTCAATAAATTTCGATGTAAATTTTCTCTTTTTTTAGTTTTGGATTTGTTATGAAGTTGCTTTGGTTTCGAGTGCTACGAAAGTAATGAACAAGAAGAAACAATGAAGTGGCTTTGGTTTAGGCCGAACCGAACCCATCGGTTTTCGATCCTCATAACCGAAAAAATCGAAATTACCAAACCTCGGTTCTGTTTGGTTCGGTTTATATGCCAAGGCCTAATTCTCTGTTTTTGATGAACAGAGTTTGAGCAGGAAGCTTGTGCATATACTCTCAGGTCTTCTTTTTGTACTCTCGTGGCCTATCTTCAGGTATTGCTTCCTCTGTTTATAGTAAACCAATCAAATTTGATTTCAGCATTTTGATTTCTTTTTACCTTGATCATTAAGTTTAGCGAATCGACGGAAGCTCGATACTTTGCTGCTTTTGTTCCATTAGTGAATTGCGTAAAGCTTGTTGTTAATGGATTATCCGTTACACCGAATTCGACGCTAATCAAATCCGTCACAAGAGAAGGGAGACCAGAGTAAGTTGTTGTATAGCCTCTTTCTTTACTCTTAATTCTGATGATTTTCAACGATCTGATTACACACTTCTTTGTTTTCTACCAAACTAAAAACAGAGAGTTGCTTAAAGGTCCATTGTTCTACGTTTTAGCTCTACTCATCTCTGTGGTTTTCTTCTGGAGAGATTCGCCTATCGGTATGATCTCATTAGCAATGATGTGCGGTGGTGATGGTAATTTTTCTTATCTGTTAATTAATCTCCTTGTTTTTGGTTACAAATTGGAATCTATAGCCACTTGAAAGAACGCATTTTCGTGATATATTATCACTGTTTGTTGTTTGATATGTGATGTAGATAGACTATCAATCCGTTGATTTTAAGATTACTCGAGAATTAGGGTTATGGCATTGTTGGTTTTATTCAAATATTAGGTCTTATATATGTCCTTCTATAATCGTTGATTCGATGATATCGCTCACTTAAACACTAATCATCATAAACTTTAATCATCATAGTTGGGATAAGACTGAAACTTTAACCTAGTTCAAATTTGATACCTATTATAGTTTTTTTTTTTTTTGTCAACTATAACTATCATTCTCGTAT